TGAATTAGAAAATCAAAGAAATATGATAATATGTACGTGTATGTACCAGTGAGAGTCCTATCATAACTAATATGACGTTCTTGTTAGCAAGGTCTAAAATATCGATATTATCCCGATATTTTCATCGAAATTTCCGTGTTTTAGGACTACCGATATTTCCGATATCATCGATATTTTAGACCTTGATAGGAACTCTATGTGGTACTAAGTCACTCATATATCTTACCATGCAATGTATAAAGTGTAAAATGTTGTACTAATTCATTATATATAAATGATTATGGTGTGTTTAAACTTCTTTTGTTGATGCACAATATCGGTGAGGACTTTGGTACAACAGAAAGTGTTAAATTTGTGACCTTCGCTAGATTGCTCCGGTTACTAGTGTGGATAAGTATGTAAATAGATAGAGACAGGGAAGCAAACACAAGATGTACGTGGTTCACCCATATTGGCTACGTTTACGGAGTATAAGAGTTCTCATTAATTGTGAAGGGTTTACACAAATACATAGGTTCAAGCTCTCCTTTAGTGAGTACTAGTGAATGATTTAGTACAATGACATTAGGAAATATTTTGAGAGAATGATCTATATTTATAGAAGAGAGTTTCTAGTTTCATTATGACATTGACACGTGTCGTGTTGTGATTGGCTTCTGATGTTGACACGTGTCGCGCTATGATTGGCTTTTGATGTCGACATGTGTCGCGTTGTGATTGGCTTCCTGGTTGGAGGGAAACTCTTCTGGGTCCTTGACTGTATAACGTTGATCGGTGCTTAGTAGTTTCGAGATTGGTCAAGTATGGTACAAACATCTTTCATTAATTACTACATATTTTATACACTCACAATGTTTGCCAGCTCGCTATATAATCAACTTAAATCAGTTAAATCCATCATGCAATGCTTTTGCTTCCAATTTTTTTGTGATAAACTAATAGATAATTGACTAAATAAACATCCTGCAAAGTTTCAATAAAAATTTCCAAGTTTTTCTTACAATTTCCGTGGTTTTTATTCAATTTTTATCGATATCGATAATATCTCGATATTTCCATCGAAATTTCTGTGTTTTTGGACTACCGATATTTCATCGATATTTTAGACTTTACTTGTTAGCAATGCTTCCGAACCCAAATCTCCTTCCTTTGAAAACCACAAAGACAAAGTATATAAGATAGTTATATACATATATTAGATATATATATATATACACACACCCACACACATATATAAAAGCTCTTTATGCAAAGGGATCTCCATTTTTTTCAAAAAATGGGGACTAGGTGTGGGACCCATTTCATATTGAAACTCAACGATCCGAATTATCTAGTTTATAAGTTTGAATTCATAAATCATCTTTGCAAAAATTCAATTCAATCCAAAATCATTTGCCTATTTAATTATCAAGATAAAATTTCATTATTTCTTATATAACAAAGTATTCGTTAATTTTTTTGAACTTAATTAGATGTCTTAAATATTTCCGATTTGGCTTTTGCAAGGATGATTTATGAGATGCAAATTGAAAAATAAAAGGTTTGGATCGTTAAAATTCGATGTTGTGTGGATCCCACAACTAATCCTCATTTTTATAAAAAAAATGGGTATCCCTTTCCTTAAAGGCTCTCTCTCTCTCTCTCTCTCTCTCTCTCTCTCTCTCTCTCTCTCTCTCTCTCTCTCTCTCTCTCTCTCTCTCTCTCTCTATATATATATATATATATATATATATATATATATATATATATAGACACACACACACTACTTATTTGCTTCATTTTGTTTTTGAAAAGGTCTGAGTTACCAGAAATATCTATGACAGAGTTATTTGAGGTGAAGTTTGGAGATTGAAGAAGAGGGTTCATTTCGGAAGGTTTTGGAATGACCAAGCTAAGGACCACTCTGGTTCGCCTCGTCGATCAACTTTTGTGTCTCTGCGGACAATGCAGCATCTGCGTGCAGTTGTCTGTTAAGCATGAAGAAGCTGATCAGCGTCAGAGCATAAACAACCTTCAAAGGCCAAACAAAAGCTACTACTACTGATGAAGCTCCCATCTTAGAGACACAGAGGGGGAGGGAGAGATGTGGATTAAGAAAGAGAGAATTAGAGAATTTATAGATGAAAATGTCTTAACGTACACATACGTTAAGAAGTGTTGTAAGTGTGGTGGTTGGCCCACATGAAGAATTTGAAACTTATAATTGAAATATTACTGTTCGAGTAATGTTACAATTAACACATTTTTATTCATATTATATTTGTAATATCTCTTTAATAGAAGTATGGTCAACCAGCACGCGTGAGTCTCATTTCTATTAGAGATGTAATGCAAATATGATAAAGAAAATGTGGTAAGAGCACTAGTATTTTTTATACTGTTCACATGAAGACTTTGAAGCCTGATAATTGAAGTCTTTACTGTTCACACAAAGACTTTATAAATAAGGTTAAGTTTTTTTTTTTGTCAAAGTAAATAAGGCTAGTTTGCTTTGTAAGTTGTCGGATGATAAACCTCTACATGAGGAGGTGAATTCGCATCATTGTACTATACACAACAAAAATATCAAAACAGAAAGAAAACAGAGTAATATATTGATCCGGTTCCATTTCATTATCTAGCAAATTTTCATCCTCTACTTTACCTATCTATAACACGTTATAAATAAGAAGCTCTAAACCTAACAATTTTTTATTTCCTTCACTGCAAAATATTTCTCATAAGGATTTTATTGTTTCACTTCCTTCTCTTCATCACCTATTTTGTGATCCCTAGCCACCACAATGATGAACTGTTAGTTCCATACCTTCTCTTAGTCCTCATGTTAATAACCGCTTATATTTTTTTTTCTTATTTAATGCAGCTCCTAACTACTAACCTAGTATTTGTTTATGTTAATTTTATTGCTAACTTGAATGACGCGGTATAATCGCCCACCTGAACTACTAACTTAGTATTTATGTTAGTGCAATACAATCGCCCTTCTCCCTATTAACTAATAACAACTTTTAATTATGTCTTAATTTAAGTTGACCTCAAACTTGAAGTTTGGAGTGCTTATCATTTTAGCCTTAAGTTTAAAATTGAATTTTGTAAGAATCATAAGTTTTAACATTACATTCCCTTGAAATCCATATTATTGCAAGTTCTTACATGTCTCATTTTTCTTTCAAAAAAGAAAATAAAAAACTTGGCAAAGTTTGATTTTGTCGTCCTTGACATTACTAGAAAGAAATACCTTACGTTGGTTGTAGATGCTAAGATCAATCTTGAATCCTTCTCTTTATCTCCTCCAATCCTCTTTTTTTTTTCTTCTCTCTCCTCTGATTCTTTTTTTCTTTCTCCACTCTCCTATTTCTTACCCTCCTACAACCCTACATCTTTGGATCTCTTTGTCTAGTTTAAGTTGTAAGATTTAGAAACAATTTTAAATCTCATACAAAACAAATTTTTAAGTCATAAAGAAAATTGTTTTCAAGAGATGTTCTTAATAAATGTTTTGAGAAATGATGAAATTTTTTTAACAGAATACCAAACAAACCCTAATTGTGTTGCATATTCTAGCATTTGTTTTGTGCCGCGGACAATGCCTAATAGTTTTCCCCCTTATCTTTACACAAGATTATTAGACCACGTTTTTAATGAGTTGTTGGTTGCCTATTTTTAGTCATAAGATTAGACCTCTTTAAAATGGCTGATGCGACTGCTGCTTAATTGGTTTTGAAAAAAAAGGCTGCAGCTCATGTTTTAGAGAGAAAACAACAACAACAAAAAAAAAAAAAAAAAAAAAAAAAAAGGAAAATATGTTGAAGCTTCTGGGTTTTGAAGGAAAAACAAATTGGTGTGTATTGGATTGTCTGTCAGAAGCCTGTAGGCCTTTTTTTTTTGTCTTTATTTATTATTATTATTTTATAGCATATGTTTATAAGCAAGGTTCTAAAAGATACTAGGCGCTAGTCGTGCAATTAGCTGGAGCCTAGTGCTTAGGCAGCTAGGCGGATAAGACGGATTTAAGTAAATCTATTATATTTCGTGTAAATAAGTGTCTGCTTATACTTAAAATATATATAATTTCAATATAAACTACAAAATAGAATGACAACTATATTAGGAAGTATTGGAACATAATGAAAACATGGGGAACATGCATAAAATGTGTATTCATTTAAGTATTCAACAAGTCTTACAATTTATTAAAAAAAAAATACAAAATGAAAGTTATCTATTTTCTGTTTAAGTGAGTCGCAACTTATGCAGGTGCCTAGGCGGGTCTAGATGGTCTAGGCGCCCTTTCTTAATTTTCAAACACCTAGACATTAATCAGGGCAGCAACCAACCGTCTAGCGCCTAGGCAGAGATTTTTAGAACAGTGGTTTTAAGAGAAAAGAATATTTTTCATGATGTTTTCATTTAAAGCTTTAATTGGAAATCAATTATGGAAATGTGTCTAGTGATTTTCGTAATTGATTCAAAATCATTTCATCATATATTCATTTTGCATGATCGCGTTAGCATCGTATAAAGTTTGATAAGAAAATAATTGATAGATCGCGTTAGTGTCGTGCCACTTTTAGTCGAAGACTGATCGTGTTAGTTGTGCCACTTCCAATCAAGGGTTGAAGAGAGATTGAGTAGCAAAGCACGGAAAAAAAAACTGCCTACACTAGTATATGTGGCTGGTTAATGAGCTTTATAAGTCTTTTTGTAATCATTTTTTATGTTTTTCTTGGCTTTGGAGCTCGAGGATTTTTCCAATGGTGGGTTTTGCCTCGTTAGATCCTACGTGCATATTTTGTTCATCTTTTTAACTGCTTATATGTATGATAGTTTGGTATGTGATGTGGATGTAAAAATTTAATTGAATTTGATTTGAGTTTTTAAGTTGGAATCTATTCACCCCCTCTAGATTATGTGTATTATAGAACTTTCATGAACAAAAATTTGTAATTAGTTTGGAGCAAAAAGAAATATATGTATAAGTGTAGGTCGTAGTAGTACTCTTTTCAAATCTCAGGTGAGAAGTTACTTATACTAGGTAAATTATAGTAACGGTATCTCAAACGAATAACGCATTGTTTGAGAAATGGGCCTAATTTGAGGGCATGCATGAACATATACTTGTTAATCAGATAATGTTTCCTTGTAGTACCATACCACCTGCCCCATCCTCCCAAAGAAATTTCAAATGCAAACTCTAATGCATGTACTCGTCCCTAACCACCTGATACAATTTATACAGATTTGGTAACAACACGCGACGAATAGGCCGGCCGCTACAACAAGTGACACAAGGCCGCTCGCGACACGTACCAATACAGCTACAAAGGCTACCACTAGCTTATGATGAGCGAGTGAGAGCAGCATCAAGAGCACATTATTTCAAAACCAAGAGTTAGTTCCTTGGAGGTTTGAACCAAAGATTTATAAACTTAGGATAACCATTAACCAACATTGGTTTCGTTCCTTAGGAACTGAAAATGTGTAGAAACCGACACGATCTCATTGTTATGACTCCGAACTGGGCTTCAAAAATGTTAAGCTCATCTGCAGGGTTGTTTTCACTCTTCTGATGGAAAAAGACAACGGTGAACAAGTCTGAACGTCAACAAAGCACCGTTCAATGGGCTACAGACCAGCGGGTTTGAATAATGGAACCAGATTGTACATCCCTTCCACATCAACGGGAACTCTGAGAGCCCGGCTAAGGTGCTCGGGTGTGGTAGCTTTGACCTTCCAAGTACTGAACCATGGTCCTCCTCCAACTTCTACTGCAGCCATGTTACTTGTAACATCCAATATCACCTACAAAATAGACAAAATCAAAAGGCTCATCCAATCATTAACATTTATATCAAACTACAGTATCATGTAAGCCAGAAACATAATTATTGGGAGAAAAAAAAGGGTGCGGCAAAAATTTTATCACATAAACGTAGCAGTCGTTGGACTCATGAACCATCCCCAACCCCATAGTCACATTGACAAATAAATTCCCATAACAGAACCAATAGATCAATTGAGACAATTTCCCATCACATCGTCCAATAATCCAGGCTAACTTTAGCATACATTTTTTACTAAAAATCGGCACAAGTCCTTCCAATGGGAAAGAGTGATAGAAGAAAGTGTGACTATTTGGCCAAAGGATATTCAATCCTAACTACAATGAAATGATTAACTAATCCATGGTCACTGGTTATGGCTTGTTTAATGTTCTTTAATTTTCTTGTTTAATCTATATGAAAAGTTGGAAGAGCAAATGGTTACCTAATGATGGGTGTTATGACTCGGTCTATGAAGAATACTCGTGCCGTGCCTGCTTAAAAGATTTTGGGCTCGTGTTGGGCATAGAAGCACTTTCAGCTAAAAATTTATATGTTCTAACTCAGGTCATCAAGAAAACTGTTGCTTATTATCCATGTCTTGTCCAGAGTGGCAAACCAGGGAAAGAAGTGTGTTATAAATGGTCTATTAGCATAGTTTTCGTTTCCCACGGCAAACTAAAATAAAATTCCGAACTTTTACTGACAAAAAAAAAAAAAAATGCAAATGTCAAATAACTAGTCATTTTAGAGTTGTATGGCCTGTCTAAAACATATTGCAAGCCTAGGACACAGAAAAGAAAAGAGTAATTAAAGAAAAGGAGAGTGAGACCAATAAATACACGTGTATATAATATATATGTATATGAGTGAAAACTGTGTACCTTCCCCTTGTTACCATCATATCTTCGTTCCCACATTTTTAATTTTAGATCACCGAAGCAAGAATCTTTACAAGCTGGAGCAAGTCCAGCTTCTGATGTTGGAGCACGCAAAGTTGTACCAGGATCCTCTGTTGTTGCCTCTAATTCAACCTGCTCATTAACAAGAAAAGTGTGTTGGGTGACTACAAAGATTTTCACTAATATTATCAAAAAGGCTAGAACCAGATTGAACCTTCTGTTAGTGTTATGGTAGAGATTTCATTTCCACTAATATTACCAAAATATTAAAGACCACCCACCACTTAATACAGCTATAGAGATTTCATTTCCAGGTGTATACTACTACTATCACATCTGAGGCAGGGGCAAGATGAAAGAGACGTTCAATTACCATGTGTGTTTCATTCTCTGCAGTAATTGACCAGTAACCCCAAGGAGCAATTTCCCAACTAACAACACCATTCCATGGTACAAATTCATAAAACTTTCCACCATAGTGAACTCCGATCTGCATCATAAATGCATGAATGCATGAACATATTAAAGGGGTAAAAATGCAGGTACTATTTGTTAGCAATAAAGGACAAGGTTAGCTCCAATTTGGAAATTTCATGGATATATCCAATTCTTAATTTATCATGAACAATTGTAGAATGCAAAGAAAGACGAGACTTTATTTCATCTTCATCCATTTTCCTTATAGCATGTTTAATGAAGAAATTTTAGAGAGACCAGCAAAAACATAACACGATCCTGAATGGCAAAGAAACTGCACAACCCTTACTTACCCCTCCTCTATGAATCTCATTTAAAATTTCCTCTCAAAGATAACTTAGCAAAATATAAAGTGAGCAGAAGCAAACTGGGGAAAGCAAAGCAACATTTTCAGAGCAATCTCCACTGGAAAAGTACCAAAGCAGCGTTTTCAAAAGATTCTGTTAACCCAGGTAGTTGCCTCAAACCACCGCCTGATGTCAGAGCAACTTCTCCAGTAGCGCCTTCAAAAACATTACACTGAACCTGCAGTGTGGCATCAATCCATCCAAATAAATCAGTGGATGCCAAACCAATAGTACAATGAAGAATGAGCTTAACCTTTACTATAATACGATAGTGACGAATGGATAAAAGCCTACCCAGAACCATTTTCTTGGGAATGCTCCACCCCAATTCTTTTCAGAATAAGAAGGGGCATTTTCAAACTCAAATCTTTCACCGTCCCACTCTATCCAACCTGAGATTTAACGAAACATGAGACAATGCCCTGAAAAGTGCATAAAGGTTTCTGAAAAGAGAAAATTTTGGAGTATCAGATATTCAAAAGAAAGAAACACATGATTGTCCAAAATAAAATAGCTAAATGGTACAGGAAATATTTGCGAGGAGTTAAAGGAGATAAGCAAATGCCTGTTGACAATCCACCAGACATGCATATTTGCCAATGGGGTTCAAATACAGGAAAAGCTGCTAACCAGCCTGCAGTAGACTTCTGCTTAGACCCAACATCACCCCATCCATAAATTGGGCGGGTACTGTATTCCCAGCGAGCACTTGGCACAGTTTCTACATAATCAGACCTGACATGAACAAGATTGTACATCAAAGTTCTTATAAACTCTATGGGTACGGGGGGCAACCCATATTTGCACAGGTCAAATGAAAAAAAATAAGAACAAGGAGAGGCGTACCTGCCATCATCACGAATGGAACCTTGATGCCAAAGTGGGGTGACTTGAAAACCTTCTGTCACTCTACTATCGAATTCCTATACAATATATCCCACAAATGTGGGGAAATATTAAAAGAAGTACACATTAATGAAAACAAGTATTTTCTGTTGCAGCCTAACATAATTCTCTCAAAATGACAATTGCAAAAACGACGTACTTAATTAGAAACTAAGTGGTCATCTAGAAGAATAATGAATATAAACCGAAAACAAAATAAGGTTCAAATATAGTATATTAACCTTCGGAAGAACCTCATTGTTCGGAGGCTTTGATTGTTTTTCTGCTATAAAAGTGTTCCCCAACATAAGCTCATCCCTGCCTATGCACTAAAAACATTAACAACCAGCATACTTAAGGTGGATACATGAAGAATCCTAATATAATACAGAAGTCGAAAACACGAAACTTAGGACTCGGACACCAAAAGATAAACAGCATTTCTTTCATCAGATAACAACACATCGTCCCGAAAAGTTTTGAAATTTGAAATTCTTCAGCAACAACAACTTGAGCAACATTTAAAACAGTAAAAAAGCTCTTACTTCCCCAAAAGTTCTGAGATTCTTCAGAGTACTGGCAAATGTACTTGTCGTAGGCACCCAGGATTTGAGCACCGACCCCGGTCGACCTTGGCCCGTTCTGAACCAATTCTAACGCCGTCAGTGGCTTGCAGAAAGCAGGATTCTCAACGGAGTACATGAAGCAGAAGCTCTGCCTCCGCTCCGGAATCGCAACCTTGAAGTACCATCCTTCAAAGAATTTCCGGCTCGTTCCATCGAAATGGTACCTAATTACAAAATTAATCACCAAAAAAATCACCCAATTGAGAAATTAAATCGCGAAAAATGTCAAGAAATTAAGCTCAATGCACATACATACCCGCTGTGAGGTGTTCGAAGGTCTCGATTCCGAGGGGTGGGGACGTAGACGGAGCTCGCGGCCGCTTTGTCCTGAGCTGTGGAGGAGGGAACGGTGGAAGTGGTTCGAAACCCTAGCTTCAGAGTCCTCAAGGAGCTGCGTTTTGAAGAGTGAGAGAGGAGAGGGTTTCTGGTTCGGAAGCTCAAGCTTGGAGAGAAATGGTGGTGATCGTGCAGTGAAGAGAGGCTTGACTCCATTGCTATACAGGGATGGAAGTTGAAGAGAGAGAAAGAGAGGAGATGATAAGACCTCAGTGGTCCAATCCCTAATTCGACCTTAACCTGCAAGCTAGATCAGAAATGGCGATGGAAGGGAAGGAAGAAGGCAGTGGAGAGAAGCTCCTATTTTTTGTAATAATATTTTTATATTCAAATAACCGTTGGCCATCCACTCACCACATTGGCGCCTTTATACGACCCAAACATCCAGATAATGCCAAATGGATGGTGTGACTTCAACTACCCAACGGACCCAATCTTTATTGTCCGAGATGGGACAGTCAACCACCCAAGCCCGGGAAGTTAATACCGGATCTGGGACTAGATATGATAGCAGCCCAATAGCTGAAGAATACTACTCGGGTATTCTGCTTAGTGTTCTCCTGTGGACTGGATTCTTTCTGATAAAAGGGGGAAACAAAAGAAAAAATACCACTATTAGCTGGAAAAAATAGATCTGTGATGGCTCAACAAAGCGTGGAAGACCTGGCGGTGCAGTTGGAGTGGGGGCCATGGAGTTGACAAGTATGGAGCACGCCATTAAGCTGGTTGGGGCTGTACTAATAGATCAACCACTTAACAAGTGGTGTTTTTGGTTGGGTGGGGTGGGGGGGGGGGAGTGGGGTTGGTTGTGGTGTTTTTGGTTGGGTGGGTGGGGTGGGGGGGAGTGGGGTTGGTTGTCGGAGGAGGTTAAGGAACATCCTAAAGAGCGCCAGGAAGAACATGGGTGTGGTCCAAATCAATTGGGTGAAGGAGAATATCTACATTATTATGGTGAGGGATGAGGAGGCGGCATCCTGAATCATAAACTTGGTACTATGAGCTGTGATGAAACAAAATTTCTCGATAAGAGCGTGGCCATCTAATCTCTCTCTAGAGGAAATCGTTCTTCACCTGGTTCTATTCTGGACACATATGAGAGGAGTACCGCTGAATCTCGGAATGATAGATAACGTGGAAAAGCTGGCTGGAGAAGCTGGGGAATTCCTTGAGCTGGAAGATGTTGCGTTGGCAAGAGGTTTCCTTAGGGTCAAAATCTTGATTGATACCAGAAACCTTCTGGCAGCGGGCTGCTGGTTAGCCAGGGGCGGAGACAGGGATTCGTGGGTGGAGTTCAGTTATGAAAAGTTGCAGGACTTTTGTTACAAATGCGGAAGAATCAGACATGCTATGAATGAATGTTCTTTTAAAATAAACAGGAGTGATGTAGCTGCCTATGAAGACTGGACTAGAGCAAAAATGGTCCGTGATTTTTAAGAAGCCACTCTGATGCAACCTATTTCGATGGGAGATCGCCAGCACGCTGGGATGAGTCGTGCAAGTCGTAAAATCCCACCTATTATGAGAAGATTACATGAGCGGGGATACGAGTGAGGAAAGTGGGCATGATGGAGAGGGGTCTCATCCATTGCAGGGAAGGCAAAAAGAAGGCCATCACCTAAGGGATGTGTCAGGGGAGGGTTCTGGAGGTACAATTGCCAGGTATGAGAACATTAATTCCCCTCTAGGGACTACTGAGACCTCGAATATGGGTGGTCTTAACCAACTAGTTGTGGGCCGCGATTTAAATAGGGAACAAAGGTGGAAACTGGATAGGCCTACTCTAGGGGCAAAAAAAGGGGCATCAGAATAGACGAATTAAGCGAAAACGGGCCTTCATGAGAAGGGCCATAATTCATACAGGCTAGCCCAAGTGATTCCACATTTGGACCAGGCCCCATGCGGAAACCAGATGATGGTGCCATGGGTATCCGGGCCCAACCCCAACAAAACATAGTTAATACCTAGTTACACCCAAGACAAAAAATGGGGGATCTTTTTGAAGAACTTGGATTAAAAAGGACAATGGGAAGTAATAAGTAGGGAGACATGCAGTTGATAAGAAAGACTCATAGGAAAGGGGAGACCAGTGGGGCTTATGAAAGTGAGGACGCACGGATGGGTACGCTAGTGGAAAGTAACACCAGTGATCTGGGCCTGGAATTTGGTGACCACTTGCTGGAGGTCACTGTAATACGAAATGAAAGAGAGTTACATACGGAGGATAAGGAATCCATTAGGACTCAGGCGACAGAGGTATCTATTGGTGGTGGTGGCTACTGGCTCGGAATAGCCGCAAGGTCACCATGATTTACCTAATTTGGAACTGCCATGGTCTTGGGTTAGACAAGGTAGTTCGAGCTATCAACGGGCTCATTCGAAAATACAGACCCTCTGTGATCTTTCTTTTTCGAAACGAAAATGAAAGACCACAAAATTGATGGAGTAAGAAGAAAGATGGGTTATGGTGGCGGCTTCAACGTTTCTCCAATTAGGGTGGTGGGATGACTGTTGGGAGGTAAATATTATTTTTTTCCAGTAGAAATATTATTCACTCAGAGAGGCACATCACCAGGCACGACGAATGGTTTCTTGCTTGGTGGATGTATGGAAATTGGTACCATCCCGAGAAGGAAAAGTTCTGGAATTGGGCGATGGAGACTCTAAATCCCTCTTCGTGCTCGTGGTTTTACCGGGGGGGGGGGGAACTTCAATGAGTTCTTGTGGGATTATGAGAATGAAGGTGGTAGCACAGGATCTCTGAGGCGTCCACATTTCTGCATGATTTTATGGCAAAAATGGAGCTTATTGATTTGGGCTTTAATGGGCCTCGCTTCACATGGAGGGGGACTCAGAATAATAGCCTAGTTCAAGAGAGATTGGACCATGGTATTGTAAATGGACCTTGGCAGGCCCGGTGGCTAAATATGATGGTTACCCACGTAGTTGTGAAAGCTTCGGACTATGCCCACTAATTATCAATTTGGACCAATTGGATGCAAAGGGAAATCGACCATTTTGGTTCGAGGGTTTTTGGGTCAAGGAACTGGGATGCAGGGAAGTGGTAGAAAACAGCTGGCGTAATCAAAATGACAGGGATTGGCTATACATGTGGCAACAGAAGAAAAGAAGTACAAAGAAGAATTTGAAGACTTGGAGTCGTGAAACCTTCCAGGACCGAAAAGCCTTAATCAACAACCTTACTGAGTATCTAGGCTCTCTTCAATTGAATTGGGAGGACAATGTTGAGCGGATCAATGCTACTACCGCCATGATACTTGAACTTGAAGATCAGGAGGAAGCGTTTTGGGCGCAACGATCCCAAGTCCGTTGGCTGCAAGCTAGGGACTCCAATACAACATTTTTTCATCATTTTACTATCCAGAGGAAAAGGGCAAACAGTATTACGAAGATCAAGGATGACTGTGGTAATTGAGTGGAAGACCTTTTGGGTATTAGGAGGTCATTCGAGGTCAATTTATTTAATCTATTCCGGTTTTTGGGTAATCTTGACTAGGGAAACCTCTTTGATTGTATCAGTTTGTCAATCACCACTGAGATGAATGATGTGCTTACAAGTTCGATTAACAAAACAGAGATCCGAGAGGCTATTTTTTAGATGGGTAAGTCTAAAGCTTTGAGGCCAGACGGATTCCAAGGTATTTTTTTCCAATCATTTTGGGATGTTATCTATGCTGAAGTCAAAGGCTTTGCTGCTGAATGCTTGGAGGGTGGCTGGAGCCTCTGCTCGCTCAACGCCATTCATATCGTTCTGATCCTGAAGTCTCCCCACCTTGAGTTTGTTAATTAGTTTCGGCCAATTAGCATATGCAATTATTTGTACAAGGTCCTCTAAAAAATCTTGGCTAATCATTTAGGACCTTTCCTTCCCATAGTGATCTCATAAAGTCAGAATGCATTTGTTGGGGGCCGTCAAATCCAGGATAACATTATCATTGCTCATAAAGTTTTTCACGTCCTTAAGCTTAGAAAGACGAAAAGGAAGCATCGGCTGGGCATATGACATAATTGAGTGGGATTTTTTGGAAGCTACTATGTTGAAAATGGGTTTTAACTGCTCGTGGGTGGACCTTGTTATGCGGTGTGTTTTGTCGGTGGAGCTCTCTGTGCTTATTAATAGTTGTTCGGGGAATTGCTTCAGGTTGACTCGTGGTCTCCACCAGGGAGATCCACTATTTCCCTATATGTTCCTTTTAATAAGTGAAGTTTTATCTTGGCTCTTATAGCATGCGGCTGAGACGGGATTTCTCAAAGGAATCCGAATTAGTGCTCACCTTTTTTTTTTTTTTTTTTTGTGGATGATATTTTGATCTTCTTTTCAGCCACAGAGGAAAATTGTGAAAACATGGATCGTCTTCTGAAGGCTTACTATCTTACTTCAAGGCAAGAGGTTAGTTTGCAAAAGTCGGTGGTGTAATTTAGTACCAATACACCTAGAGATGTCTAGTAGGAATTGTGTACAATCTTGAATATGTCAAGGGTGGAAGACCCTAGAACTTACCTTGGTATACCAGCGGGGTGAGGCAAGACCAAGTCAGTTGGCATGTTCTACATCAAGGACGGGGTATTATCCAAGATCTAGGGCTGAAAAAACAAATTTTTATTGCAGGCAGGGCGGGAAGTGTTGATAAAAGGTTGTGGTTCAAGCCATGCCCACTTATCCAATGAATGTATTCTATCTCCCAGCTCGGCTTTTAATGAAATTGATGAAGCCATTGCAAAGTTCTGGTGGGCTAACTCAAATAAAGCTCTTGGAATTCATTGGGTAAAGTGGATGGATATGGGCTTGCCAAAGTGTGAAGGCGGTATGGGTTTTAGGAATTTTGGAGACTTCAATCTCGCCCTCTTGGCCAAGCAATGCTAACGGCTTATCCAGGAGCATGACTCATTATGGGCTCGGGTCTTCAAGGACCGATACTTTCCTCACTCCTCATTCCTTAAGGCAAAGCGAGAGGGTTGTTCCTCCTGGATTTGGTCGAGCCTTTTGGATGGAAGGGACATTATTCTCAAAGGCACTCATTGGCAAGTCCTAAGTGGCATGAAGGTTAGCATTTGGAGAGATGTTTGGGTTCCGAGTTTATTGGCTGGTCACCCTATTCCCATCAACGATGGCTCGGTAGACTTGGATCAAATTGTTGACTTAATCATTAATCAGGACGTCGGGTCTTAGAACTTGATTTCTATCGCTAA